AGTATTATAAGTATAAGTATCTTTTTTTCATAATTTCTTCAAGAATAAAACTTAATCATTAATATTTTTGTATCTTTTTTAGGGACCAATATGATAATGTCGATATGATTATTATTTCTTTTCCTTTGTTCGTTTTTTTTTTAAATATTCTTTTTATTGATCAGACTGTCTATTATTTCTTTGAAATCTTGTTTAGATTTCGTGTTGTATTACAGCACGATGGGTCGATCACGTAGTCCATCGAATAAAAAACATAAACATAGAAAATTATCACGAGATAGATCGAAAGATCGAAGTATGACCAGTTCATCACAACGACATAAATCACGTTCACCTGATCGAGAAAAAAAATCAAAACGGTAAGACATTGAATTATGAATATGATTTAAGGTCAGAGGGTCACACACCTAACGAGAGAATCTTTTCAGGTGTTATCCTCCGATTTTCCAAATTATCTCATATTTTGATAGTACATGGTGACCTATTAAAAAACCCTGTGTGGGATCCCAGGGTCGAAAAAATGAAAGTTTGATTTTGGACCTCAAATTTTGCTCAAATATAGAACTAAGTTAGAGTAGTCTATATACAGAAATTCAAAGGTTTAGGTCAAAGTTTCGTGGAGATCGACGAATTTAATAGTATGGATCCTTTTAACATGTTAGTACAGCCTTTCCGACATGTTATATCTCGGCGAGGCTTTGACTTAAGCTTCTGAATTTTTGTGTATAGAATACTCTAACTTACTTTTATATTTCAGTAAAATCTGAGGTCCAAAATGAAAGTTTCATTTTTACGACCCTGAGGTCCCTCACAGGGGTTTTTTAATAGGTCACCATGTACTATCAAAATATGAGGTAATTTGGAAAATCGGAGAATAACACCTGAAAAAGTTCCCTCGTAAGCTTAGAGTTACTCAAATAGCTTTGTCATTTCCGTGAGATACTCGTTTCAATTGGAGAAACCTAGTAGCTAAATGATGTATTATTCTCTTTAGATCTCGTCGTCGATCAAGTAATTCATCAAATGATGGTCGTGAAGATTCAATATTATCCATAGGTCGAATGGCAAGCATAAATGAATTAGTCGATTTAACAGCTCGTAAAAAAGCGGAAGTTGAACGATTAGCTGAACTTGAACGAGAACGCATGCAATTATTGTAAATAGATTTATTTATTTATTAAAGTTTTGTTTTTATTCTGAAAATTTTTAGGCGTCAGAAAGAATCTCGCGAAAATTTAATACAATCTGAAGTTGAACGACGTGTTAAAGATATTGTTGAAACACGTGTACGTGAAGAATTAGAACGTCGAAAAGATGAAATTGAAAATGAAGTTAAACGACGTGTTGATGTACTTAAACGAACAATGGAAAAACAAATGTTAAGTGAACTTGAAAAACGAAATAATGATGAAATGAAAAAATTAATTGCCAAAGAAGTAAATTGAATTTTGATGTTTTCGATGTATTTATTATTTTTCCCGTTTATAGGAAGAAGAAAGAAAAAAACGTGAAGATTTAGAACGAATTTTGACAGAAAATGAACGTAAATTATCCGATGCAGAAAAACGTATTGTATGTTTGATATAAAAAGAAAATATGTTGTTTTTCTAAAAATAATTTAATTAATTATTAGGCTGATGAAGAAGAAAAATTACGTACTGAACAATTACGTTTAATGGAAGATCGAGAACGATTTGAACGACAATTAGGCAAACAACATGCAAAAGAACAAAATCTTATTTTAGGAAAAAATAAGACACGAGAAAAAATTTCATTTTCATTGAATAGTGCACGTTAAATGAATCATCTCTTGTTTTTGACTTGTTGTACAGTTCTTTTTTTCTTTCTGTGTATTAATGAAAACGTTGCTTCAATTCAGTCTTTCTTTCTTTCTTTCAGACTAATAAACTCAATTATTATGATTGGATATAAATATGGATTAAATAATATTTCGTAGTTTAACATACGAATTAACATGACCATTGGAAGTTTATTCAAATGGACTGATTGGTATTTGTGAAAAACAAAAATTTTCAGTTATACACAATCGCTCTTTTATCGAAGTATGTATCTTGATTGATTTTTTTATAAAGGTACTTCATTTATGCAAATCAATATCGATTATGTACGACTTGAATAAAGCTTATTTTTCTTTACATTCTATCGTATAGTTCGGAAAAAGAGTAAATAGAACGGCGTAGAAAATTATTTTTGTCAGATCGCTTTTCCTATAATAGTATACAAGAAAATATTTATTATTGAAATTCATCAATATTTATGAATGGAAATTTTTTTTTATTAACAATGAAATAAATTAATATAATGGAAACGAAAATAGACGCAGTTTCGACATGAACTTTATGTCGTCTTTCTTTTTTTTTCTAAACACAACTGTGATAAAGGTTACGAACGCAATGAAACATTTTCATTCAATGATCATTTGTCAACAGCTGTTACACATTCTTTCTTCTTTTTTTTTTGTACTTAATTGCGTATTTTTTTTTATTCAAAAAAAAATTATTGGGTGTGTAGAATAACACCCCTTGGCGTGCCTTTTATGCCATGCTGATGCCACGATATAGAAATAAATATCTCTGTTTTTTTTCAGAAATGATTACATTCTTTCACTGATATTTTAAATTGAAGTGACATATATATATATAAAGGCATTATCCTACATTCAATTTGAAATATTTATCATGGGTACATTATCAGAGGTTTGTTAAAAACTTTTTCAAAAAAAAACAATGGATATAACTATGTTTTGTTTTTTCTAAATGAAGGCTGGTGGTGATCGAATGGCCCACGAAGAAAGTAAAAATGATATGGCTGGTAAATTTGGTTCAACAGAAGTTAGTTTATTTTATTGATTAATTCAATATATAAATATTATGTTTTCTTAGAATGAAGAACCTTCGACGAAAACATCACTTATTTTTTCACTTCATGAAGAAGTTGGTGCTTTAGCTAGAGCACTTCATGTATTTGAAGTAAATAAATTTTCTTATTAATTCATTCTTTCTTTACCCTAATCATCCATTTAGCCTCAAGATTTTAAATCAGGTTTGAATTCTAAGCTCTAAATTATAATGCTTCTCTTATTCTCAATTAACATAAATTAGAAATCTTAAATTAAAATTCAACTATTTTTTATTTTGTTCGGAAGAATACAAATATTTTCTTTTTTAGAAACATGGCATCAATTTACTTCATATTGAATCTCGATTATCTCGACAAAATAAAACTGATCATGAATTTTATGTTGAATGTGATAATAGTATGGGTAGTGTAGCAGATGCTATTAAACAATTACGTCAAGAATCGAAATATATTCATATACTTTCACGTGCTCATAAATCATTAGATGAATCAGGTTAGCTTTTTGTAAAGATATTTTATAAAAATCTAAAGATTTTATTTAGTACCATGGTTTCCAAGAAAAATGCGTGATTTAGATCAATTTGCTAATCGTGTTCTTTCTTATGGATCAGAATTAGATTCTGATCATCCAGGTTTTCGTGATGTACTCTATCGTAAACGTCGAAAAGAATTTGCTGATATTGCTCATCAATATCGTCATAATCAACCTATTCCACGTGTTACTTACACTGAACAAGAAATTTCAACATGGGCAACTGTATTTCGTGAATTAACACAACTTTATCCAAAACATGCATGCAAAGAGTTTAACAATATTTTTCCATTACTTATTGATAATTGTGGTTATAATGAAACAAATATACCACAATTAGAAGAAGTATCACAATTTCTTCAAGATTGTTCAGGTTTTCGTCTTCGACCTGTTGCTGGTTAGTTGAATATATATACTATTTATATGAAAATATACAATGTTTTTCTTCAGGTCTTTTATCATCACGAGATTTTCTTGCTGGATTAGCTTTTCGTGTATTTCATTCAACTCAATATATTCGTCATCATAGTGTACCTATGTATACACCAGAACCAGATATATGTCATGAATTACTTGGGCATGTACCACTTTTTGCTGATCCAGATTTTGCTGAATTTAGTCAAGAAATTGGTATGGCTAGTTTAGGTGCACCAGATGAATATATAACACGTTTAGGTATTTAAATTTATACATATATCGACTCATTAATTATTTTGTTTTTTTTTCTTAGCAACATTATATTGGTTTACTGTTGAATTTGGTTTATGTACTGAAAATGATGAAAGAAAAGCTTATGGTGCTGGTCTTTTATCATCATTTGGTGAATTACAAGTACTAGTTTTTATAAATATTTATTTAAGTTGAAGCATATTTTCATTTAGTATTGTGTTTCGGATAAACCATCAATAATGCCATTTGATCCATTTCGTGCTTCAATTCAACCATATCCAATAACAAGTTTTCAACCAACTTATTTCTTAGCTGAAAGTTTTAAAGATGCTAAAGAAAAATTACGGTATAATAAATCATATTTCTTCCATTATTCTCATGTTTTTGTTTTTTGTTTAGACAATATGCAATGACTATTCCACGTCCATTCAGTGTATATTATAATCCATATACACAATCAATGGAAGTTATTGATGGTAAAGAACAAATTGTTAATATGGTTCGAACCTTACGAAGTAAAATATAAACTATTTATTATAAAAACTTGCATATTTATTTATCTGTTTCTGTTCAGATGATATGGATATGGTTCTTGATGCTCTTCGAAAAACCGAAATTGCGCCAACTAAAATCGCCTAAACTTTTAATTCATTTTTTTTCTGTGCATTTATTCCTCTTTTATCTTTCATGTATATTTAAAAAATTTCTCTGGTGGAGGTAGATTATGGTGATAGGATTTTTATATGATTTACTTTTTAGATTTTCTTTATTGTGAAAAGAAAAAAATGAGACAATTATTTACTATTAGTGGGCGATATGCAGCCACTGAAGATGTATCGATTACATCGCAGGTGGGTTATAAGAATAAAATAAAGATATATACATATGTATACACTTTAGATACTTCTTTGTTTTGAGCATATTTTGCATCTTCTTCCGCTTTCATTGTGTGTGTATAATGTGGTTCACTAATACTAATTTGGACAATATACAATTATTATATTCAAGGTGAGATCACAGCTGATTGTAAATATTTGATTAATAAGCTTTGATTTGATTGAAAGATTTCATGTGCGAATGTATCTATTTCATTTTTGTAGGTATCCGGTTTATCATGGGATACACGTTTGAAAGGTTTTGGAATTTGTTTACTTATTTGTGTTGTACTCGGAATAATTGTAAGTCATTTGTGATAAAGCGACTGATTTTTCCGCGTTGCATATATATCGGTTAAGTTTGTGTTGTAACAAATAAACTTGAAAGATATTGATTAAATGTGACATTTGCTTTAATATATTCACATCAT